GCTGTCCTTCAGGGCTCCATGCATCTCGCGATATCGCGTCGAAGTGACTGTGCTTGCAGCTTGTCGACGGCGTCGATGAGGAGACATACGGCCTTTCCTTCTCGATGTCTAGGATGATGGGCATCCTTGGCGCGGACAAGGCGTGGGAGAGAGCGGGGTCCGAAGCGGGCGCCGTGCGTGCTCGTCATGCGGACAAACATGCTCGACGCGAGATAAGGGCACCTCAGTGCCGTGCCGGCTTTCTTCTCTCGGTAGCCACTGACCCCTCAATCCCCCTCGAACCCCTAATCTCGACCGAACGTGTGCCGTACCAGACTTGATGATGGTGCGATGTACACGGTTGGTTAGCTGGCGGATGACCTGCTTGGCTCCACTCTGGGCGATGTCGTAGGTACAGCTCATCCATTGGCCTTTGATGTATGTGATGAATGGAGTCTTGGAAGCCGTCTTCCCAAGTCTCCGATCACTACTAGCCAGTGTGTGTTCCACGAGGACATGTCATCGACCGCCCAAGCCGACATGCACGCCAACTGGGTGATCCCGAGTTCCACAGAGAGACTCCCTGGCCTTGCCACCCCCCTCCCCCCTAAATCCACCTCGAACTCGGCGTCGAGTTCTCTGCCGTACTGAAACTAGCGGATTGAGTGTACTTTACGATAACTGACCATGTGGCCTATCTTCTGCGCCGTATCGCGTGCGGGCGCTCTGGGAGGGGGACCCGCTTTTGATGCCTGCCAGCCCGGGGCCGTGTCAGAACCACGTCCGTCTTGCACCATAATCCAGGGGGCAGTTTTGCTTCATCTGATTATGTTGCTAATCAGCAGATGGGCGTCGGGCAATTTGGTGGCAGCTTTCAAACATGACGTCTCGCTCTCGGCGCCCGGATGGTTTGTAAGGTCCGCCATGCGCACCATCCTCTTAGTACTGCCCGCTCACATCCCGTGCTGCCCGCTTCCCCAGACCAAGACCAGGGCAGGTGACCCCATCAGGTGGGTTGTCTAGTGCCGTGCCGTTCGTTCAAGCCAGTCGCAGAAGATGCCCGGCGCATTCGCTCGTTCCATGGCATCGCCATGATTGGTTAGCCACATGTCCTTCCCAGCCGTTGTCTCGTCCAGGGGACGATGGATCATTTCATCTGCGCTGGGCTCGAGTGACTTTGTCATCTGGTGATCCGTCCTAGCACAACTGTCATCGAAGACGGGCCAACTCCCACATTTTTGAGTGGGTTGCTGTCGCGTTGCCACCACAGGTGACCACGCCATACAATCGTTCTTCTGCCGATTTTCGTGATTACCGCGCCAGCCTTTCCCTCCTCATTACCTCATTCCCCATGTGAAAGAAACGGCATTTGAATGACGATCAATGATGTTGATCAAAAGGTAAAACAGATCGTCCAGCTGTCGAGGTCCTGATTGGCCCCACTTCAAACAATCTGCCCAACTGTTGTAACTGCGAAGGTCGATAATGTCTGAAGACGACAAAGATTGGGGAAGACTGACATTGCAAAGTCATGGTTGTGATGACGATGGTTGTGTGGTCCACCCAATGGTTTGGTCTCTCCAGTTTTGCCCACCTTACTTGCCCTGCAGGATGTCGTCTGCCAGCACCGAACGACGAGGATTGCAGGTTCTGTTGCTGAGGGACCTGCAGGCAGCTGGGTGGGGGGGGCGCATGCAAGCTCTTCGCTCGCCATGGGCAGAGCTATCTGCAGTCGCTATCACGATACTAGGTTAGGGGGTTGGTGCAAGTTGGTCAGGTGGCGAGGGTGCAGGCAAGACAGGCGACTCAGGTCGTTCCCGTCGGTCGTGGGGGAAGTCGCACGCGGGGGATTGTTCACTAGCGCTGGACACCTCGCGACGTTCCATCGTGCGGCAGAGGCCGCTGATTTGCTCGAGTCGATACGACTTACGCCCCCCCCCGTCCGTCTCCGATGCAGGTCGTATCCAAAGTGGTAAGGGCTACTTTGGCCTGCAGTTGAACTAGGTTGTGTCGTCGGACATTCGTAACGCGTCGCAGCAGGTGTTCGTTAACTTCTGGGACGTTCTGCGGCAGTGATAACTGACGACGAGGCGCGGCGCGATGGTGTTGTCTGGGGTTTGAATAGCAACTTTACTCCTTGACAGGCCGACAGATATAGTGGAAGTGGCAGTGGGAGTGATGATCATGGGGTTATGCACCCCCAGCCCACATGAAGGGACGTTTTTGTGGACGGGTACCACGCACGTCCTGCAAATGTGCTCGGTACGTGATTGTGGTCGCCAGCGCACAGCCATTGGTGCCCTGCTTGAGCCGCTCGTGATGCTCATGAGGCGAGCTGCCCTGTGGAGGGAGGTCAAGTTTGTGCCCAAGTTCGCCTCGCTGTGTGTTTAGATGTCCTATTGTGTGATGATCGGTCTCTGCTGGTGGCCGATGGCTGATGCAGAGTGGAGCCATCGGGCTGATGCGCAACCTGTCTCCACGATCTGTGCCGAGCCCGTCCCCGCATCCGTCATAGTTTGGTGGGTGCTTGGTGCTCAGTGCGTGATCCATGTGGCCCGCTCTATCTGCACTACTCCGCGCTCCTATCCTTCATTCGACTCTGGAGAAGAGGTCGGTGTTTCGAAAAGGCACATGAGGACAACAGTTGGCGTCTCTGACCACACGGCACTACAGGCCTCGGGCCAGTATGGTTTGCGACCCTGAATTGATGCCGTTCCTGGGGCCGAGATTTAGAGGCCTGCACGAAAGGCACCTGGCAAGCGTCCTGAGTTGGAAGAGGTGGAAGCCGCAGCAAAGAAGACGTGGCCCTGCTGCAGGTAGATGGCCCACAGCCAATGAAACCATCATCTCGTCAACCAGCAGGAAGACGACGGTACTTACAGATGTTCCAATCTCGTCCTAGATGGTGGGGGCGTTCGGAGGATTGGTCGATGTCGACATACGGCAGGGGTGAGTTCCCCTGGTGCTGACAGTAGCCTGTCCAGATTTGATGTGCCTGTCTGGTCCTCTGATGGAAGAGGCCTGAGGTTGAGGTGCTTGGGTCAAATGGAAAGAGCGAGAATGAGACGATATTGCGTCTGTCGTGGGAAGGTGGTGGTTGCTCGCCCGCGCCCCGCTTCACGAAGCACACCACTGTGACCTCACAAATCGACACCCTCACCTCATCCAAACCGCCGATTGACCATTCATCCATCGTCCGTCGGCTGTTCCTCACCGTTGCACAGCATTGTTTTAGTTGGGGTGTTAAGTGGCGGTCCTGCGGCTGTCGTCCCCACATCCTCTTCTTTTCTGTCCTTGCGGGCACGGCAGGTTCGTGATTCGCAGGTTGGAGGCTGCCGTGTTACATTTGCCTGGTGAGAGTGGTTGTCCAATTCTTCCATTTGTCGCTGTTCGTTGGCGCAGTGTATCGTCAATTGAGCAATTTTGGGGGTCTACCAATGCGTTGGTGTGCAGATCATCCATACCCACACTCAAACCATGGCTTGCACAGGTAGTTAGTTATACCTATCCAGACCAAGGCGAGGCCACAGCCAGGCGCGGGGAGACGGGCTGAACAGGCAGCCAACTCGAAGCACAAGGCTCTAGGCTGAACTGTTTGCCACGCACTCTTTGGGATTCCTCAATGGTATGAAAAGAGAGAGCTCTCCGGTCGGCCTGCCTCTCCCGAAACGAGACCTGCAACTCGGGACCCTCGTGTGATGGAGTCATTGCCTCGAGCGCAATTAGGTACGCCGGCTCACTCGTGCATCGTGCATTAGACTGCCAAACAATCGAAAGATGGCACGATGTGCTTTAAAATGGTGAATATGGTCCACTGAAAAATGACTGAACAGAGGGAAACGCTCACGAAGACCATCAGCGGGGCTCGATGCTCTCTGGCAAGCCTGGCGGGTTTGGCTTTGGCTGTTGCTGGCGTCCGAGAGACGAGACGGGGCCCCATGAACCAGACAAGCGCTAACACAAATATGGCAGCCTCGGGTGTCGATCATGAGATAGGGCCTGGTTCTGAGCAAGGAGCTAATGACCCCACCTCCACCTGCGCTATGCCCAAAACGAGCAGGCTATTGGACCATTGGCTCAATTGCGCACACCCCAACGTCATTCCATCAGCAGCCATCAGCACAACGCCCAGGCTGGACCACTCAGTATTGCAAGCCATCTATTTCTGCAAGCACACCCCTCACAATTCGGTACACACACCCACCCTGGTCAAACATAACAGTGGATGCAGATTTTTTTCTCCTCTGCCACCCCTGGCCTGCTCCTCCTGCGACTGATGATTTCTTTCATCAGATGGTGAGTGGGGTCCAGGCTCGCTCACGCCATCCCTGCCCACGACACACCATCATTTAGCGTCCACCCCTCCTGTGTCTCGCTCTCTCACTTTCTATGGTGCCGCAGCCTTCAAGCCCTCACACCCATTCACTCGCTGCTGCCACTCCCTGGCGATGCTGCACCCCCCCTTCCCTCTCGCCGATGGTTGAGAAGTGGAGACGCGGCGAGACCACCCCCCCTTCCCTTCCCTCAAGCGCCGCTGCCTTGTCTGCTTTTCGCGACGTGCAGGCTGGACCGGTGCAGGTGTGGGCTCCATCGCCCGTACCTGCTCACACAATAATGCACGGTGGGGTACTTGCCATGGCGTCAGGATGGGGCAGAGCACGCCGCACTCACAAGACTGGGCTCCTCCACTCTTGGGTGACTCTGGTGTCAAGTGGTGCGATGGGCTGTGCTTCGACCATCGATACATATGAGCCGACCTCTTCCCACTCTTCGATCCACCTTGCTCCCCTTCATCATTCGACTTCATCTCGTCCAGCACTCTTTGTTGCATTGGCTTGTTCTGATATGAGTCAAACCTGCTCAGCGTCTTTATAATTCATCATCTGCATCCTCCTCTTCTTCAATTAGCTCCTCCAACATACACTGCCAGCCTCGACCAGCCCTGCCTGGCCTTGACAATCCCGCTTCAGCACTCACCACTTGCACCTTGCACATCTTCATTCACCCATAACAACGACACCATGGCCGACATGTGGGCTCACGAGTTCTGCCTCGGCTGCGACAAGCAGACTGATGGAACCGCCTACTGCTCTGAATCTTGCCGCCTGGCCGACTTTGAGAAGACGTCTACCTCTGCTGCCAGCTCCCCCGGCCTCAACACCTCGACCGGACCGTGGACCTCAAGTCAGAGGCAACCCAGCCGATTCTATCTCCCTCCCGCCATCGACTTCTCCAACGCTCAGTCATATGGCTCCCTGTCCTCGGCCAACACATACCTGCCCACAGGTTCTTCACCAAACACCACCCGTCCCCTCACTGCTTCGAGCTCGAACACGAGCCTCGCTTCCATGGGCAGCAACGCGTCGTCCAACACGGAAAGCTACCTGCAACTGAACGAGAAGACACAGAAGGAGCTCTGCGGCTACGCTGCATCGTTCGACAGCATCAGGACCCAGCGACGACGCTCCTACTAGGCTCCAGGTTTACAACCACCAACAGCCACGCAACACATCCATCTTCAACAACACTTTGACACAACATTTTACAACACAACACACAACTCACTCGATCATGTCTTTCTTTCTCTTTTTTCTCGTCTTTCCCCTCTCGGCATATCACCACAAATCGACACAATCTCCTTTGGTCTGGGGTCATCTGCTGTAACACGTGTACGGGCATTACACCGGAGTACTGCATCATAAAAAAAGTTTGGGGGGAGCCATGGCGGTCCATCGACCTTGTCATTGACGGCAAGGCGAGTTCCGGATGGCACACCACGGCGCAACAATTGTTTATACCACACTCGACGGAGGGCGGGGATGTATGGAAGCTTATGGACGACACATTGGGTTCGGCACCATACGGGCTCGAAGACTATGACATGGGAAAGGACCTCAATGGCGGGACAGAGGCAGGATACCCACGGGAATGGCGAGGCGTTTAGGGATTTTCGCAATGGTACGGCATCGGGGGTTCGCGGCATTGGATGTCCGGGATTACCTCCAGAGCGTACTCAGATAGCTGATCCTCAGCGCACAGCGACTGTAGTGATCTTGCATGGCTAGCAAACAGCCAGCAAAGCATAGCATCAAACGTCAGATTGACCAAGAATTGAGCACAATCCATGACGCACCCTGTTTCTTCCTCAGTCCATTTTGTGCTGTGCGACAACGTTCACGGATGTGACTCTTGCAACTGAAATATTTACGTTCCTTCGGTCAGAACCACAACGCTGGCAGGGGTTTAGGCACCGGGCTCGGTCTCCGCTCCCCACCTCGGTGGGTCGGTGGACACACTGGAGGGCCGCTCGGTTGTGTCACGAACAGGTTCACGACCGAGAGCGGGCGTAAGGGAGCGGCCGGTGTCGGCTGTGCGAGATTGGGTCAAGACAGCAAGTAAGCGAATACAGTCACCACCGACGACGGGATCGCAAGCTGTGGGAAGCGGGCTTACGCCCAAAGGCATTATGTCCGTCCCAAGGCCTAAAAATCCCGATTCACGATGATCTGCTGAGCTGGCAGGCCACGACTCACGTAGCGCAGAGCATTCTGGGGAGGGCCAGCAGGCCGCTCAGGCGCAGGCGCAGCTGCAGCTGCAGCTGGCCAGGTTGTCGGAACTGTGAGATGCACAAGTCGCTACAATGATCGCTGCCCGGTCTGGTTTGTAAGGAACTCTGCGCTCTACGGAGCCGGAGCAAGGCGCCGGCCAAACTGAAACAGAACTACGCCTTGGAAGTGCGCCCGACATGCCTACCAAAACCCGAGAAGACGGTGCCAGAGTAATCACTGAATTCCCGGCTCCCTTGCGTCTGATTGCCTGGCTTGCCTTGAAATGCATTGCTGCCTTTACATTGTCATATTTTGCTTTTAGTTTTCTTCTTTCCAGTTCTCCATCTCTCTCTGCCTTGGCGATCCTGGCTCCTCACCCCTGTCATCTGGGTTTTTCGCCGGGCATTTTTCCCTTTCCTGCCTTGCACAGGTCAAGCCAAAAGCTAGACAGAGGTGGCACCCGCCTAACGTCCCCCCTGCTTCTGGCACCTTTGCCCTGTCAATGTTGGGATGGGGGGGGGGGGGGGACAGGGCCGCGATCCACGTTTGACAACGTGGCATGGCTCTCAGCTCGTCGCGCGCGCCGATGGCCGGACAGAACAGGCGAACCACCGCTCTGCAACCAGTCAGTGTACGCCCCCCCTCCCCGTCCCTTCTGGGTAAGAAGCAATGAAGCGAAACAGAAAAATGGGGGTGGGGGGAAGGGGGACAGGTGAGCAGGAAAAAAAGATTTTTCTGAGTCTTCGGTTCATCGAATTGTTGACAACACTGCGATGCATCGGCACCATGATGGAGCCATCGGGGTTTTCGTTGTCCATTCCGTCGCTTTTTCTGTCCGATCCTGCATCTGCCTCTTTTCTCGCCTCTGACGGCGGGCTCCGCTGCCCAGACTGGGGTTGACAGGAAGGGTGATCGTCACACTTATCCGCCTTCCGCCTCCCGAGGGCACGCCATTACGTACGCGCCGAGGAAGCCGCGGGCGATTTCTTACTCCGCCTCCACCCCTCGTCTCTCTATTTTTTTTGTGTGTTCTTTGTAATAAGGTGGATGTTGCTGCAACGACGTGCCATTCGGGCTGCAACAGGTGATTTAGGCGATGCGGAGAAAAGACGGGGAAAGCTCTGTTTAGCTCATGTGTCCGAATTCTGCTTAGGTCTGGAGAGAGTGCAGACTTGGGACGCACTTTGTTGGCTCGACAAATCGTCGGGTCACGATGACCGCAACAGTCAACAGTCGGGCGGTCTCGCCGGTCGAGCGAGCTTGACTGGCTTTCGTGAATGCCACCGCCAGCGGTGCCTGTCTGTGCCTGATATCGTGACGTCGTTCAACGGGGGATATGCCAGGGGCTCAGAAACACCGGCCAGGGCGAGCGAAGCGAGCCCGAGGGGGGGGGGGGGGGGCAGAGGGGTCCGCAAGCATGATGACACTTCACTTCATACACCCTTCAATGCAAAACCATGTTATTCATCCTAACGTTGGACCCCATTCGTGGATCGGTGATGAATTGGACACGGCTCCGCTTTCGAATTGTCTAACAGGGCGAATTCGATCAGTACGATGATGGATGGAATTTGTGTAATTGGAATTTCCCGCTCAGCCGGGCGAGGCAACATCAGAGCCGCAGCAAGCCGCAGCAGGCCATGCAGCGGGCGCGAGCCAGAGAAAAAGGGAAGAAAAAAAAAGAATAATCTACTGAAGACAACAACCACGCGCGATTGAAACCAATGAGACAGTGAAACGCAACCAGAAAGGCAAATTCCAGACATTTCCTTTCAACCAGCAACATCCATCTTGGCGGGCAGACCTGCCTGGACCGGTCGCCCGATTGCGCACAGCTTCAAGTGACCCCCATTCCCATCATTCATCAAACTTTGTCCTCGTTCTCGGCCCTCACCAAAACAGAAGAGAAGGCTTAGGAAAGGTGTGGTGTGTTCGACTACTCCACCGGCTGAGGTTCCAGACGGGTCTTTGACGATGACTCCCTCGCACAAAACACCATAGCCGAAAGTATCAACGAGCAAGAAAAAACATTGGATGCGTCACACATCACAAGGGAGACGAGAGGGAAAAAAATCAAAAGCGGACAAGGTGTCAGGGGCCGGCTAGGTGGCGATCGATGGTGCCATGTTTTAGTGGTTTCTGGGGGGGCTTGAGAGCAAGGCTCGCCCCTGTGGGTGAGGAACGCGTAGCGGCCCTGCTGAGGCAGAGGATACACCTGGCAGCCTCCACACCTCGAGAGATGAACCGAACGATGGCGCTACATGTACTACGAATAGTTAAGGTTGCAGCTAAAAGATAGGTGCGGCCGGTGCCAGGTGGGGGCACGGGGGGCGATGCCAATGTTGGGGGCACATTGTGCCCTGTAGGCAGCCTGAAGGGTGGCCGCCAGGCCAGGCAAGCCCGGGCCCGACAGTGGGGAGTGAAAGGGAAATACTAGGGAATAGGGAATAGTTAGGAAGGAGAAGGGGGGGGGGGGGGGGTGGCGATCAACAGTGGAGGCCACCCCATGAATTAATTCAGTGGGGACCTGCTCTGGCCCAGACCTCTGCTGGCTGGCTGGCTGACTGTTTACTGAGTCAAAGTGCAAGTACAATGCAAGCAGGCATCTGTTCATAGGCAAGTGCAATCAATGGTGGGTGCATCTTGTAAAAAAGGGGGCAGATAGGATAGGGGGTTACGCCTTGCACGATCCCCCAAAGTGAAGTTTTTTTCCTTCCGTCATCTCATCACCACGGCAGAAGGCCGCGTGTGGTTTCATCGCCTCGTCACCACATTCCACTTCAACCTGGAATCTTGGTCAGCCGCATTCCCTCGATCGCTCTTGTCGAGCCACATGGAGGTCGATGCTGCACCCGCGCCCTTGCCATACTGGACTGGAACACGGCGGGCCGACCCAAAACATCACAAGCAAGCGTTGTTTCCACGTCGCATTCTCGACCTTGCTTGACTTTCGGGCGCCTCGGGCCTGAATCTCATCTCTTCCTGTCCCGCTCGTATCCCATGTTGGGGTCTTTGATTCAATCACGAGTACGCATTCCCTTCCGGCCAAGGACGCCCTCTCGTTTCCAGGCAGCTGAAGCCAGCACATTGGTCATGGAGGGATGGATTGAGTGGGTGGCAGCCCTTGCCTGTCAGTAGGAACACCCCCAATCTCAGTCTAGACGGCTTCATGGCCAGAAGGCTTGACTGTCAACGCACACCAGCCAATCCTGTCTCGCGACACGCATCTTGCCTACCTACCTTATGCTGGAGGTGCGTATTCGAGGCCGGCATATCCGCACAAATTCGTTGCACTGGCTGCTCTTTGCACACCACCTCAATGGACAACGCTCGTTCACACTTTCCACATGGCTCTCAACGCCTACGGATTCCTCTCTGAGGCATGGCATGACCGACTTCGTCCCCATGCGGCCCCTCGCAGCACTTTGCATTTTCAGCCGGCCTTCATGCTACACCACCCCTTAACTGCCGCGTCGGCTCGCCCGCCCGCGGGTTCGGCCATGTCGGTTTAACCCGTTTCATCACGGCCCCGACGCGGTTTGAACAAACCAACAAGTGTTGATATAGCCGGGAAGAGCCTATAACTCGGAAAATATCCCCTCGGTCCGCCATTGTGTCTGTCCGGTCCAATCATCCCTTCCGCGGCTCCAGTCGCGGAAGATCTCCCGTTATCCGCATTACTGCTCGTCATGAAAGCCGACAGTTTCAATCAGCGTGCCCGCCTGTTACAGGGCGAGAATATCACCTATCCAATCGGGAGCCCATGGACTGACTCCCTGTTCATGCTAGCAACGTGTCAACCCGCCATACGGGTGCTCTGCTGTTCAAGCCTCTGGAAGCTTCTCTCCATACTCGGACCACCTGCGAGTCTAATGTTCGACAGTTTCGTCATTCTAGAACATGCGCCCAATCTTGTTCGACCCTCG